AAGTCCAAATGAGGGGTAAAGTGCAGTGGGGACTGAGCCGTGTTGACGCTCGGGGAGTTAAGCCAGATCGCTGGATCAAAAGCAAACATTAAGAAAGACAGGCATGTGTTTCTTGCTGCTTGAGAAGTACCAGAGTTTCCTACTTAACCCTGTTTTCTTGATTCTCATTTTGTTCCCCCAAATGAATTCCTAAGATTCAGGAGGAGGTACCTGTTTTCACTGGAATTTGGGTTGTGTCTTGGTTAGGCATGGTATGGTAAATGTACTTGTCTGATGACCTGACAGAACAAGGAATTAAAATACAGAGCACATGGAGGCCCCAGGCCCCTCTGTTGCAATGCAGTCACGTGCCACATAATGAATTTTCGGCCAACGTTGGACTCCTCGTGCCTTGGTGGCTTTATGAGGGTATATCAGCCGATGATGTCATGGCTGTCTCGGTTGCACACTGTGATGTTCACACAGTAATGAAATCACACTGAGGTTGAATTTCTCAGAATGTATCCCTGTCCTTAAGTGATGCATAACTGTGCTTTGATTTACAGTCGGAGCCACCGAGAGGCCCGGGGCAGCTTCTCTCTTCTCTCAATTCTTATCCCCGTTTTACAGCTTTTCCTCTGAGATGTTGGCGATAGGTACATCGGGTCCCAAATGGTACCCAGAAACCCCAGGGAACCAAGAAATGGAAGGAAATGGATGAGTACGGGCCAGTGGACTCCAACCCCAACTCGATGCTTACTGTGTGTTCACAGGCAAATCAGGAAACCTCCTGAGCCGTGGTTCATGTGTACAAAGTGAGGATGACGTGCCTAGTCATGCCTGGCTGGCAGAAAGAGGCCAATGAATGACAGTTTTGCTGTCATTGTCCTAGTCAAACGTCAGGCTGAGGTTGTCAAAGTGGCCACTTACAGCTGGATCAGTCTGGGAAGACTGAATCCTGCATACTTCGGGGAATGCTGCAGGGCCATCCACTTTTCTTTCGGTGAACCTACTATGAGCGAAGCAAAGCTCATAGCTAAGGTGAACCCACTATGAGCAAAAGCTCATAGTAGCAAAATAATTCCAAGTACTTATTTAATTTTTACAACCGTCTTATGTTTCCATTTTACAGATAAGGAAGTAGGGCGGGATTTGAAGCTGAGTGAGCTGAGGTTTGAGGCCAGGTGGGATGGCCTTCGCTGCCGGCATGAACTGGCCTGCTCATTCCTGGGAGCTCATTCAGGGCTTTGCCCGGAGCTGTCCAGCTAAGTGTCTGCCAGTGCCCTCAAAGGCAGACTTTTGTCCTGGGCATTAGTTTATTCCCTGGATTACCCTGGTGCTTGCCATGGGACTGTGGCCTTCTAGATACATGGTATGGAATGAGCAGGGCCCGAGGTTGTGGAACTTTGGGAAATTCCTAAAGAATATTTCTGCCCCAGTTTTTTTCTTCATAATGTGGTTGAATCAACCTCTATAGATTGTTTGTGAGAGTAAAGTGAGATAATGTTTGTGAAGAGCTTGCTGCAAGGCCTGGCACAGTTTGCTACTATAATTGGCATAACTGCCAGTTCACTATTTATTATGTTTCCATTGCTAAATAGAATCTGGTCTGTGGGAAAGCACAACTGATATTTGTGGAAGGATGAAAAACATGGGGAGGGAGGGAGGCGGGAAAGAAGGAAGAAAGAAAGGAGGGGAAGAAGAAAGAAAAATTAAATAAAATTTTAAAAAATTTAATAAATGTAGAAATGGTTGGTGTCTTCTACAGACATTAAGTAGTCCAGCATATGTGGCTTTTCTAAGATTGCCAGATTTAGCAAACAAAAACACAGGATGCCCAGTTAAGACTGAATTTCAGATAAAAAATGAATTCTTTGAAAGTATAAATATGGTCCACGTAATATTTAGGATATATTAACACTAAAATATATTTGTTGTTTATTTGTTTTAAATGCAAATCTGACTGGATGTCTATCCTGTATTTCATCTGGCAACCTTACATGCTTTTCAACCTGAACATGTATCTTTATCACGTTGTCCATAAAAAAGGTGCCAGCTCATTGGACTCGAATGTATTCCTGCCAACAATTTCAAGGTTAGGTGTGCTGTTAAACTTGTACACTATATTACATGGTAAGGACTATAATTTCAAGTCCTTATGCATTTTAGACTGAATGATTTACTCTCTGTTTAATTTCTATTATTCAAGAGCATGTGGCTGTTAAAGATATATAAAAATACATATTGAAATTGTTTTAGATTACTTATGTCCTAAAATAGGGATGTACATTTAATATTTTCTAATGCATTTTTAATGAAAATTTGATTTTAGCATTTGGCAAAGCATTCTGTAGGATTTAAGATACGCCCAAGAAGGGAAAGGAAATTCAGGTCAAAATTTATGTCTTTTGGAAAACACAGATATGGTAAAGCTCCCATATTTTCCATAATATCTTGACCTGCTTTCTAAAACATTGTATCATTTTACACAATTGATGCTATCATGCATACCAAGTAAGATTAGAGCTCTAGATAACAGTGGTACATTTCGTGATCATTTAAAAACATAATATGCATAATTCTAAGCAGTGGGCAAGGCATTGTATAAATGTTCCACAGAGGACGCCAGGAGTGGAGGCACTTGTTCGTGAGTGAACAAAGCATCAAGATGGCACCTATGCACGGATGAGGGAACCCTTCCGGCAAATTGGCATGTTTTTCCTATTAACACAAACACACGCAGTGCTGTCCCCCTTTTTTCTATACACACAACACATGCACACTTCCATTGCTTCGAAAGAGTCCCAAATCCTCAGCATGTTTTCCTCCATTCCTCTTGGAATCATAGCATGATGGTGATTATATAAGAGTGAAGCTATGGTTTGATAATAACACAATAATATAGTGATTTGAAGGGCTGTATTACTTAGAAATATTTACTCTGTTCAAATGCAGAAAGATGTAAAAATAGCTGTCTTATCTATGTATTTAACAAATACCTTTGTGTATGCTTTCCCAAATTACTGGTTTACCTTCACTTCCTCGAACAGATATCGTACATTTCAGATTTTGACGGAGGATGGATGCAAGCTTCCCTTTTCTCCCTTCTCCCTATTTACATAACGCAGTTAAAAAATGATTACAAACCTAACAGGTGGAAAATTGGTCTTTATTATAGCACAAAATAAACATTCCCTATTTGTCTTCTTTACCACGGTTTGGATCCACTACTATTGGATTTGAAACATCATTCCTTTTTTTAAAAGGTATCCTGTTTATGTCCACCTTTTTTTTTTTTTTTTTTTTTAAATAAGCACTCAAAAAGCATAATTGCAATTTTCATAAAATTGAAAATGTTCTAAAGCAAATAAATAGGCTGTGGCAGAGCCCCAAGCTCGTGTGTAAATTCAATAGATGCATTTTGGCTTTTCATTCAATGGGGTGAGCTGAACAAATCATGCTGGAAACCAAGAGATGAATCTGCCAGTAACATTTAATTTTCATGATAAAGACATGCAAACAAAAACTATGGTTTTCATTTGGGTCCAGATCAGAAGCTTAGATCTCACTAGGGGAAGAGTTCCAGATCAGATATTTCAAACTTTTGTTTCATTTTGGTCATTCTCGCACTCAGAAAAACTCTCCAGCCCTGAGATGTGACCCCAAAGCCATACAAATACCTCTCTTCTCTCCCTGGAACTCACTGAGTATCCAAACCTGTGTGGCTTGGTCCGAAAGTCAACTGCTTATTAGCAAAAGCTTGGACAATAGGGGATGTCAAGCACTTATCTATTAAGCTGTCGCTAGCTTCCTCTAGCTTATTGTGAATTAATTAAGAGCAAATCTGTACTGCAGTGTGACATGAACTGGACTGGTAAGCACAACAGGTGTAGTTCATGTTGGGTCCTCATGCTGCAGTGAGGCCCTGAGTGAAGGACAACTTGACTATGTGTGAGGCTCTGTAGCAAGTGGGGGTGTCATGCTGGAGGGGAGAAAAAGGGAGGTAAAGGAAATACATAAAAGGAGATGAAAGATACTTGTTATGATCCGGACTTCCTTATGCTCAGTGTTTGAGAATCTGCCAAGGTATGTGACCTTGGTCTGGGACTTTTTATCTGGAGCTGACATGGTTGGGCATCAGTGACTACACAAGGCATGAACTTCTGTGGTACATGATGCAAATTGTTAAACTATAGGACCCCATGTGCTTTGAGCATTGGTAGGCAGAAAGCCATTTGTTTCTTTATATGAAATAAAATCTCAAGGGCATGCATTGCATCTATTTTTGCTAAAGATGGATTCTGAGATTAGTCTACCCTAAAGAAAACAAAAGATGAGAGAAGAAAATAGCCTTCTCCCTTCCGTTTTAATGACCTGCAGAGAAGAGTGCTTTTCTACCATCCCCTTAAGGATGCGTGCTCTTTCACAGGAAAATTAATGTAGGAAATAAAGGGAAGGAGGTGGAAGGTAGCAACTGCTGAAGAGTAAGCTGCAAAAAGCATTAATTACATGTAACAATAATAAAGACAACTTTAAGTTCTTTGTGAGCTGATTAAGAAATCTCTGTCTAGTGACTGCCCTTAGCAACTGCCCCATCTTTGTTCTGTTCTCACCTTCTTACCACTGTGTAAGTCATTAGCATTGCTAAGGGAAGGCGGGCGGTGCCATGGAATGCGGAGAGAAGCTAGTACTTAATTACTGTCAAGGGAGCCTGAGCTGGACCCTGGAGGTTGCGTCTTGGGTACGAAGGGAATCATGTATCATGGAGCTAGGAGCAACATCATCTATGGACTTCATCTCTAAATCCATCTTACTCTAGTGCCCCACTCTACACTGGAGGACTGGAAAGAGGAGTTAGACTGATTTATCATGTTCTGGTCTCTCAGAAAAATAAGTCTACGGCAGCAAGCTACTGTCCTGCTTGGCCTCAGGAGACATCAGCTGCCTCTAAGCAGACCCGTCTCCTTTTAACAAGCTCCTCACAAGGCTGCTGTCACCATTGCCTGGGAGCCAACCCATACCTGCGGAGCTATTCTTCATCCACGTCTGTTACAAACTGTGAATGGTGCTCAGGTGACTTGCTGTGCGTTTTGCTTAGGTGGAGTTTTACCGCGTGTTTGCTCACAAAAGTCCGACAGCACAACTTACACTTGAATTTAGAGTCTGTGTCCTCTTCGCCAGCTATTGTTTCCGGAGATCTCTGAGCCGACGACACCCGGGAGATCTCTTGCTCCACCTTGCTTTGCTGGTCCGCGGCCATGCGGGTCATGTCCTTCATTTGGAAGCCCAGGTGAGACTCGAGGTGACTGATGTAAGTGGGGGGCGTTCTGAACTGGGAAGCGCAGTCACTGCAGTAAAAGATGGGGTGGCCCTTGTCCATGTTTTTCAGAAATTTGGTCCCGCCCGTTTTCCTAAGCTGGTACTTGACATTCGCCAGCCAGTGGCTGATCGTGGTCATGGAGAGTCCTGTAAACTTGGAGATCTGCATACGCTCCTGTGGGCCCAGGTCAGAGAGAAGATATTTGCCCTCCGACGTCTGGAAGAGGCTCGAGGCAAACTGGGCTTGCAGGATGAGAAGGTGCTGAGGGTTCCAGTTGGATTGCCGGCCTTTCCTTTTATGCAAAGTGGAGACCTCGCTGGAGACGTCCTCAAAGCGCCTCACGTCCATTTCTAGCTTCATGGGCGGGACCCTGGAGGAAGCGGCGGGCTTGGGGGTGGTTGCTTTCGGGAGGACCTTGACCATGTCGGCGATGTCAGACAGAGCGTGCTTCTGAGGTGGGGATGTACAGGATTGTGCTTGCGAGGACTCGGCTTTCTTGCTTTTGGACTTGGTCAGGTCGATGGGTTGGTCGTTATTCTCAAACAGGAAGCGCCTGGACCCACTGGCCGGCCTCGTGGAGCCCGGACTCAGCACTGGCTTGTCCATGACACTGAGGCTGGACTTGTGAAACATAGAAATTGTGCTTGAGCTTGGGCTGGAGCAGGAAGGAGAGCGCAAGGGCTCCGTGGCCTTGCCCAGGTGATTGTTCAAGACAGACTGCAGGGCGCTGAGTGGGTTGACGCATGGCAGGGCTGGGGCGTGGTTGGCCAGGGCACAGCCGTTACTAAGAGAAGACACTGGCTCTAAGGATTGTGGCTTCGCCTTCTCACCACTCTCTTTCATTAGCTTGTCCTCCTCTTTCAGGGGACACGGCTCAGCCTTTTTGGGTTCCAAGGGTGGCTCGCTTTTGGAGAAAGAGTCCCCCTCACTGTGGCTGAATGATGATGCCTCCTCACGGGGACTTTCTTTCCCACTCTCCTTCCCCACCTCGTCTTTGTCCTCCGACTCCTTCTTAACTTGGGTGTATGGGGCCAGGTTTGTGGGCACAGACACGAGTGGCATAACTTTCCACTTTGGCGCAATTGGCCTTAACTTGTTGGTGAGATTAGGCCGAATCTGCAGGACCTGGGATCCCAAGGGCAAAGGCGGCTTGGTGCCCTCTGACAGCTGGTAGGCTGCGTGGATGCTGGGGTAGGCGCTCCAACTGGGAGCGCCATTTTGGGCTTTGTTGATGGCTGTGGTTACAGTATTTTCGAGTGACTTCAAAATGTCCCCTCCACCCTTGGAGCCATCTTCTAAATCCTCCTCCCTTAGATACTGGTATTTTATGGTAGGATCTAAAGGTTTTTGTAGAGGATCTTCATATTCCTCACTTTTCACAACTTTCTCTTCATTGTTGGTTTCCTCTGGTTTTTCTTTTTTACTCTCTCTCTTTAACTCGGTTGTGGAGGCTGTACAGTCAGACACCGAGTTACTCGATGGCTTAGGAGTCAGAGAATCATTGTTTGGGGTCTCTGACAATGACTGCATTTTCTCCACTGCTAGTGGGTCTAACACCAGCTGCTTCCCTTTCTTGGAGGCGGAGCTGGTGACCTTTAGAAAGTGACCTGTAACCATCATGTGAGTGGTGAGCTGCTGCAGAGTATCATGGGAGCTTCCGCACTCCATGCACTTTAAGATCTGGGACTTGCAGGCCTCAAACTGCCAGGTGTAGCTGGCCCCATTCTGGTAGCCGTAGCGATTATTGGAGGACAGCTGCAAGTTGGCATTCTTCTGAGAAGAAAAAGATTCCACAAACGATCCGGTGGTTGAATCTGGGGAACAAGGCCGATTGACATCAAAAACACGCTTCTTCGCGGGAGTGACCATTTTCGATGAAATGGTGGGTACTGGCTCCTTCAAAGGCACTTTTTGGTAATGCTTTGTTTTTATCATGTGGACGCTCAAATCTTGGAGAGAATCGAAGGAGTCCCCACAGAACATACATTTCAGAACCTTTTGAGCATCCTCCTTGTCCATATCCTGGAAAGCCCTTTTCCGGGGTTTTGAATAACTCGTGGGTCTGAGCTTGTCCTTTTTGCGGTTGTCATCCTGGTAGTGGCCTGTTTCGTTCATGTGCACCGTCAGCTCGACCAAGGTGTCATAGGCAGCGCTGCACTGCCGACAGCGGAACCTGCTGGCCCCCGTGAACACGGTCCCACACATCTTGCTACTTTGCCGATACAGCTGCACCGAGCTGAAGAGACTGGGCTTCGAGGCAGACCTGGATGGCAAGTTCTGCTGCAGGCTTTTGGATAGTGCATCTTGGTGCCAGTCAAAGTCACCCTTGTTGCTGCCGTTGCGGGTGTCACAGTTCCTCCTCTCGCTATTAGAGAGCTTGAAGCCAAGCCCCAGGCCTGACCAGTAGGAATCTGACAGGATGTTGGCGTAGACGGCGGTCATTTTATCCATGCAGTTGTGCGCTTCATTCGGAAGCTTGGGGTGAGTGTTCCCTTTCTTGTCTGAGGCATCTCGGCCGCAGACACTCTTGATGTCTGACACCTGGTCGCTGGCATCACTCAGCAGAGACTCGTTCTCCGCGTCCTGGTTGGACAGGTGACTTCCTGGAGAGTTCTGGCAGCTGAAGTAGCCTTTCTGCTCTGGGCCTGTTTCTAGCTCCTCATCTGTCCCTGTGTCATTACTGCCTTGAAGCTGAGCTACTGAGCCACTGTCCTCCTCCTCCTCCTCCTCTTCTTTTATTTCTTGCTCTTCCTTCAGCTGTTCCTCCTGGGCGTACCCTGCAAGAGAAGGAGAACAGATGAAATAACACCAATGGGTTACATATTCCTTTCTGACATCCCCATTTAGACTAAGCGCTTTCCATGCTGAATTGACTAGCAATTGAATCTATACATTTGTGAAATCCAGGACATGGAAACAGGGAAGAAGCCAAATGATGTCTTTTGTGCCATTTACTGCTTTTTTAAAAAAAATTGGCAAGAGTCATCATTCTCTATAAATGGCTGGCATCCCAAGTTAATAGTTTTGTGTCTAAGAAATATCACTCCTTAATGATTCCTATCATGGGACAGTTGCTAAATTCATATGTATGGATTTTAGGAATTCTGGGTTGAAACTCAAATCCTATGAAAGCAAAATAGGAAAGACATTGGCTGATTTGAAAACCAAGATTTGGCCCTTGGCATCCTAACGCTAAAATTTTCCAAAATGGTTGAACATATTGGTGTATATTCATGTAAATATATCATTTTTTGAGTACTGAGAAGTAATTTGGATGCACAGCCATTATAGTTTTGATAGGCAGTCTGTTTTTGTTGTAATATTTTTATTTGTAGAGAGTTGCCCTGCACGAAGAGAGATTATGGAGTATGCAAATAAAATCTTCCATTGATAGCCAAAAAATTATATATGGTCAGGAAATATAATGATTGAAAAATAATCGCAAATGGTGTTAGAATGGGACATTTGGGGACTATCCTATTATTCTCAAACAGGTTCATGAAGACCTTTTCAGACAAGGCTGAAAATGCCGTCTCAATCTTGCTCTTATAATTTCAAATGCATTGTGATTTGTGGGGACCCGTCATGAGATGCCAATTATATATTTGATTTGTAGATGCAAAATGCTATTGGGGATGCATGCTTTCCCTTCTCTGAAAGGATTTAGGACTAGTGATTGCACAGGGAAAATGGAGACATGAGAGAGCGGGTATAAAGGGAATTAATGGGTAAATATCCGTCAATGAAAATGGGGAATGTGACTATTTATGCCCATGGGTTCATTTTCTTCACCTGGCCTTTCAGACCAGGTGAATAAAATGTAGCCAAGGATGTATCCAACAAAAGGAGACTCAGCCTTGTATATTCAAGGATTGGATCACAATGCAATATTTTCCTTAAGAGCTTGGATTTCTCTTTTGGCAGCAGGGGGCTCACTGGAAAACCCCCTAAAGCAGGTGGTGTCATTTCTGTCCACCAAGGATAAAGTCTGGAAGCAGAGTGGTCCTATACAGAGGCAGGTAGAGAGAGTCTGAAGAGAAAGGGTTGGTCAGGAATTAGGTGGCTGTCTTCAGGAACCCCAAAGGGTAACACTGATGAGAAAGATGAACAACATTACTTGAGGAATTCCTATCTCCCGAGAACCAAGCTAACCATTACAAACCCCTTTTTTTTCATTTTGTCTAATAGTCACACGATGTAGGTACTATTATTTTCACTTTATAGGTGGGGAAACTGAGGTTTAAGGTTAAGAAATTCACACAAGATCACACTGATAGTATGGAAGGATCACAACATGAGCCCAAGTTTGTTTGATGAGACAATCCATAGTCTTTCCAAGTAGGCTCCTCTCTAACGAATAAGAAAACTTTACCAGGACCCAGCAGTGAAATTCAGTCGAAATATCCCTAAATAGATAAGCACCTTGGGAAGGAGAACTGTGGGAATGCTGGAGACAAGAGCCCATGAATTTAAGGCATGATGCTATAAAACAAGAAGAAATGTAAAAACTCGGTGTAGTAGAGAGTTTTATAGTTGTGTTTGTTATTTTATTGTTACTGGTATGGTGTTTTTGCTTCCCCACCAAGTTGACAAGTACATTTTTTTTTTTATTAAATTGGTGTTGCTGGGTTTTAGTTCCATAAATTGATGTGAAGAAACAAAAATTACTTATGGTGGTCAAAGAGCCATTAATATGTGGTTAGTAGTTGCAAGAAAACTGTAGTTGAAAGTAACTGCAGGACTAAAGTAGACCATCCCTGTCATTCTCATAACCTTTTCTTTACTCTGCACTAATTCATGTGTTGGCAAAAGCAGTTATACCATTAAGTTCAGGAGAAAGTTCATGTAATAAATTAATAAATGAATTGTTACCGAGCCAAGTAAGGTACTTCAAAAATCAGGCAAATTTTATCAAACAAGTCATTTTGAGGATGAAATTAGGCAAATTTTATTACTCAAATAGGATCTCTGTTGAAAAATAAAAGTGTGCTTTTATTCTGGGATAAATACTGAGTCAGTAGGCAACAGGCAGGATTGTTCCAGGCTAAGATATAAAAATCACCACATTTACGGGCATTGTGAGCAGAACAGCAAAGTGTGCATGCACACACATGCACACACGCATGTACACAGATATGCACACACAGAACAAGTGAAGAAATCTGGAGAGAAGGAAGACAGCTTTCCGTCACTGCAATTGGTTAAAGGTGTTGCTGGATTTTGTTCATTATTTCAGTGCCTAGCGCAGTGCCTGGCACTTAGCGAGAAATTGGTGGTCAGTAATTTGTGTTTCATTTTATGTGTGTCAATGAAATGTACATGTGCCCTCCCCTGCACATGAGGATGTGTGTGCATGCTCGTGCACGCACGCGCGCGCACACACACACACACACACACACATGCAATGTGCCCAGCCAATGCAATCATTTTCAAACAAGGAGAGAAGAAATGTTCTTTTTTTTTCTGCTGACATTTGGAAGCTGAGCTTTCTGGACCAGCTCAACCTCACAATCTACTTTGTCCTTCTAAATGGATTCCCCAGAAGAAAAGTCGGAGACAGCGCACGCCTCCCCCACAATACAGATAAAATTTTCTGCTTAATTAGGCATTGACATGTTTACTATAACCTTTACAGAAGAGTAACTCGTGCTGAGAGACCCTTTTTGTCTGTTTTCCTCTGCAGAACAGACTAAATCCCGTGCACCCGATAAGGTAACGCGTTGAAAAGCTTCATAAAAAAAAAAGTGCCAAAGCATCTGTCAAAGTGAGTGTATTTTAACAATGGCTGAGGGTTCCAAGGAGTTCTAGAGACCACATTTTAATATTATACATTTAAAACTGTTCACTTGACTTAAGTGATTTTGTTTGCCACCGCCAGCTGAGGCGAGAGAGAGAAGGCAACCATAATATGGGTGATCAGATGCATAATGACTATCTGTCTCGCTTTCTATCGATGATTTGTTTAATAAGACTGCATCATGTGTAAATCCTGGTGGAAGTGGATGAGTGGCAGGTTTATTCTTATGAATACTCATTTAACAAAGGAAAACTATTACAAAGATGCCAAGGCACAGTAAGAAGGAGCTGTTTGCTAATTGGGGGTTGAAGACCGAACTTGACAGTGGCAAATGTCCCCTTTTCTAACCCAGATTTCTGCTTGTGTCCCTTCTTGCGGTTTGGCTTTGGTCATAGGGAACTTCTGCATTCCCGGATGGTTAATTCATGAGCAAACCCCTGTCCATTCTTTGTCTCCACGACAGACTCAGCAGACCTTTGCTCCTCTCTTCTACTCCACGGCCAGTGCTCAGCTGAGCCGCTGCTCTGTCCACTAGGGTGATTCAATGGTCTTCCTGTGTCCATTTCCTGTAGGCTGTTGCTAGAACATCTTATGTAAAACGGGTCACGTCGTGATTTCTGTGGCCAGAAGCTTTTTCTTCTGAACCTTCAAGTCTCAGCCAGTGGCCCTTTCTAAGAGGTTTTCCTGACCGAGTTCTCTCCTCTGCAGAGCTCTCCATCATGTCATCCTACCCACTCAAGGCTTGTAGCACATGCCAGCGACCCTACTTGTTTGTTTATCGATTGGCTGTCGCCTCCCACTGAATGTGAAATGAAAATGTCCCTAGGAAGACAGGGACTTGCTCCTCCCCAGCATGCAGAACACAACCTGGCACACATGATTACTTCCTGCCCACAAGGGATTGGAATGAAGGAACGAACGAACGAATGAACAAATGAATGGACACACAGGCTGTGCAATGAAAGAGGATTATCTCCGCTCCTCGGAGGTGCCACGGATACTGACGGGTGAAGACCCCCCCCCCCCACTCCATGGACACGAGATGTGAATTACAATGCTCCTTAGTAACTTTACTTGGCGATAAACCCAGAACGCCTCCATAAATCGTCTTTTCAGATGAAACAAGCCACCAACTTCCTTGTTGCTCAACACTCTGGGCTGTGGACTTACACTTGTAAGGATGAGCACTGCAAATCAGCACCAAGAGTGCAAAACATCAGAAGTTATGCTTTTCAAAATGAATAGACAGATTCACACATGGGATCTTTGAAACTGGGGGTTAATTTTGCCCGTAACAGACAAAGGTAAACTCCATTAACTGTTTTGTGATAGATACATGTTGCACAGATATCATGGTAATTGTTTCGTGGGTTCTGCATTTTCAAAAGGAGAAATGTTACTGGGGAAATGCTTCTGCTGCAGATTTTTAACTCTAATAATGTGTGAGTACAATTTAGAAATAAACGCTTAAATTTTAGAATTTTCCTCTTAAAGATTTAACAATAAAAGGGGAAATATTTTTTTAAATGATCAATTCAATTTTTCCCAAAAACCTCTAGTCAGAATGATTTCAATGAAATTGTGCAAAATAATTCATGTGCAGCCTTATGAAAGATATCAGATTTTTGCTAGCACACAATTTTTTGCGGTTGCCTTGAAAATCCACAATCGAGTATTTACAGTGGAAACACTGACAGCTTTTTAAATGGCAGTAGAAGTGGAACAGTTATAACCCAAGAACAATTTAAAACTCAAGAAGGCTGATTTTCAAAAATAAACCAGAATTCAACCAAGATCTCATTTAACAACAAATCCAATGGTGACAGGATCATTTTCACCAATCTGCTCCACTAAATGACAGTTTAAAGTCACATGAAGGTTCTGAGGTGTGGAAGGCAGATGTAAATGAGGGATGGGGAAGATTTCTTGCCATGTATCCACTAGGTATGCTAAGTGATGCCACAGAGTGAGGCCTCCCTA